ATAAAAGAAAAATAAAAGTAGTTTACATTAAAAAAAAGTTATATTCTCTGCACATAAAAATATAACATATTGGTTGTGGGTTTTATGGAATCAGGTAATAGCTAAATAGAAAGAATAAAAGAGAGTAAAAGAAAAATTAAAAGAAAATAAAGAACGAAAGAAAAAAAAAAGAAAGGAAAGGTATATAAATCAATATATCATTATGATCGTTTATGCTTTTGAAGAAGAAAATAAATAAATAAAAAAAATAAACGAAAGAAAGAAAGAACGAAATGGAAATAACAAGAGAAAAATGGTGGAGAAGTGAACGTGAAAAAGAAAATAAAAGAAAACAAAAACAACAAAAAAAAAACATTATTTGCCAAGTTACATTAACCGCCAGACTGTGATATTGGAAACACACGCACGCACACACACACACACACAGACACACACACACACACACACACACAGACACACACAAACAAACACACACACACACACACACACACACACACACACACACAAACAAACACACACACACATGCACACACACACACACACACACACACAAACAAACACACACACACATGCACACACACACACACACACACACACACACAAACACACACACACACACAAACAAACACACACACACACATACACAGTACAACCCTTTCAAGATGTTAAATACGGATAAGATCAGGCAATGGGTTGTCTAGATTGCTAGCCATGAGGTATGCAAATGTGCATAGTTCATAGAAAAAATGGCTTATAAAGTGAACGAATAAATGAAAGAAAAAGAAAAATGATATTGAGGTTTTGGGAGCATTGACGTGAGAGCGAAGAAGGTAAGGGAGGCGCAAATCCTGCATGGTAAGCGTAGTCTGGATGAAAGAAAATAAGACCAAAGATGACAGGAAAATACCAGGAAAAAAAGGAAGAAGTAAAAAAACAAAAATGAATAAAAGACGAAAGAAAGAAAAAATCTAAGACCTTTTTCTCGTCATTTCTTTTTTCTTTTTTTTTTAAATATTTTATCTCTAGGGGAAACGAGCGTCAGAAAGACAGACAGACAGAGGGAGACAGAAACAGCCATAGATTTATTGACAGACAAACTGCTCGGGAAGTCAAGTGAGGAACAGACACACATAAAGCATATCATACTAAAGGAATAATTAGAAATAAGTTAGATATTAAGTAAGAACAAAAATGAATTAAGATAGAAACAAACAAACATAACAATAACCGCAGTGTACATGCAACATCATATATCGATATAGTCACAAGAAAATTACCCAAAACTAATTCAAGAAACATTAACAAGCCTGTAAAAAGCCAATGCAAAAGATACGGGAAACTTTAACAAAAAAAAACTGACTAGGAAAGTTTCGATCCCAGAGCGCAGCAAGATTCGTGGAATGCAAAATTGCTAGAAGTCATAGATGAATATTGCCTTTTCCAAAATGTAACAGATCATACAAGGGCAAAAGGGCTAGATAGGCCGTTTATGCTTAACGTAATATTCACAAGATGACATTAGGGATATGGAGTACTGTTCTCCTTTAGGGAAAAGAGACCATGTTGTAATTAAACTAAAAAATAATGTCTGCTACAGATTACATCGTAAGTAAGGAAAGAAAAGGATATGGTAGAGATCACTACAGGAGGAGGAGATAGAGGAGGAGGAGATAGAGGAGGAGGAGATAGAGGAGGAGGAGGAAATAGAGGAAGAGGAGGAGGAGATAGAGGAGGAGGAGGAGATAGAGGAGGAGGAGGAGATAGAGGAGGAGGAGGAGATAGAGGAGGAGGAGGAGATAGAGGAGGAGGAGGAGATAGAGGAGGAGGAGGAGATAGAGGAGGAGGAGGAGGAGATAGAGGAGGAGGAGGAGATAGAGGAGGAGGAGGAGATAGAGGAGGAGGAGGAGATAGAGGAGGAGGAGGAGATAGAGGAGGAGGAGGAGATAGAGGAGGAGGAGGAGATAGAGGAGGAGGAGGAGATAGAGGAGGAGGAGGAGATAGAGGAGGAGGAGGAGATAGAGGAGGAGGAGGAGATAGAGGAGGAGGAGGAGATAGAGGAGGAGGAGGAGATAGAGGAGGAGGAGGAGATAGAGGAGGAGGAGGAGATAGAGGAGGAGGAGGAGATAGAGGAGGAGGAGGAGATAGAGGAGGAGGAGGAGATAGAGGAGGAGGAGGAGATAGAGGAGGAGGAGGAGATAGAGGAGGAGGAGGAAATAGAGGAAGAGGAGGAGGAGATAGAGGAGGAGGAGGAGATAGAGGAGGAGGAGGAGATAGAGGAGGAGGAGGAGATAGAGGAGGAGGAGGAGATAGAGGAGGAGGAGGAGATAGAGGAGGGAGGGAATTGTTTGGATATATTGATAAGAGGAGGAGGAGGAGTAGAGGAGGAGGAGGTGATAGAGGAGGAGGAGGAGGAGATTAGAGGAGGAGGAGGAGATAGAGGAGGAGGAGGAGGAGAGGAGGATAGAGGAGGAGGAGGAGATAGAGTTGGAGGAGGAGATTA